GGTACATGATGTGGTGCGGGAGATGTGTTTGTGGCTGACATCAAGTGAGTCTGACAAGTATGGAAAATTTCTTCTATATCCAAGGAAGGGTATTGATATTACTTTAAAAAGTTGGACAGATGTAAGAAGAGTATCATTGTGTGACTTAGAGACTCATCGGAAATTTGTATACCCAAATGAGAGAGAAATATGTCCAAATTTGGCAACACTATTATTAAATCATATTCCCTTTGGAGAATTGTCAATTCCAACAGGTTTCTTACAGAAGACAAAAAAATCTCTTCGAGTCCTGACATTAAAATCTTGTAACTTGATGAATATTTTGGAGGATATAAGCTCATTGCAAGTATTGAGATATTTAGATTTATCTAACACAAAACTACCAAGGCTTTCAAATACAATCAACTTCAGTACAAGGTTACAATATTTAGATATATCAAAGAATGAATTACAAAGTCTTCCTGACATGATTGGTAAACTTGAGAAATTATATTATTTGAACGTGTCAAATAATGTGTTATCAAGCCTTCCAGATTCAATCGATGGCCTTGTGAATTTGATATATTTAGATGTGTCATACACAAAATTAGAAAGGCTTCCAAAAAATATCGGATCACTTGTGAAGTTACAATATCTTTTTTTACAAGGAACGGAATTACAAAGTCTTCCAAATTCAATTGGTCAGCTTGTGAATTTGATGAAGTTAAATGTGTCACAGACAAAATTACAAAGTCTTCCAAATAGTATCGGATTACTCGTGAAGTTAAAATATCTTGATTTGATGAGTACAAGAATACAAAATATTCCAGATTCAACTGATAGTCTTGTGAATTTGAAATATTTATTGATGTCAAAACCTTCCAAATAGCATCATATCAGTGAAGTTATGACATTGAAAGAGTAGAAAATTATAACATCTCTAGAATCAATTGGTGGCTTTATGATTTTGACAATATTAAATGTGTCACAAAAAAATTACAAAACCTTCTAAATAGCATCAAATCACTTGTGAAGTTAGATAATCTTTATTTGGAAAATATCAAATTACTACATCATACAGATTTAATCGGTGGAGCCTTCCAAATAGTATCATATCACTTTTGAAGTTACAACATTATTATTTAGAGAGTATATGATGGCGAGTGGGACCTATCTCCATCAGCTAAGGAGACACCGGCAGTCTGAGTTCTGTCGAATTGACACACGAAGACGAAGGAGCATGGCTTTCGCTACACAGCCTAGTCCTTCAGGACAACGACATTCCACCTCTGCGACGACGACGAACTCGAGCTCACCTTTATCTTTCTTTGTATTTTCACATTGACTTGTGGGCCTCGCGTTTGTGTGTTAGCGGGCCCAATTCTATGTGCATGTGTTGTTGTTTGTGTCTCCCTTACTTTAGGATTTTATTGAGTCTCTCTTTTGAGGCCCAATTAAAACCCTAAGGAGAGGGGACCTATGTTTCTTTCCTTTTGAGCCTCTTTTGGGGCTTATTTGGGTCTTCATTTGAGGCCCACTTAAGCACTGTACAAGGGCCCTCCTCTTTCTCCTTTTAGGGGAGCTTATTGGGTCTCTCTTTTAGAGGCCCAATAAGCCCCCTTTCTCTCAAGAACTGAGAGCTTGGCCTTTGTGCTTTAGAAACTGTTCCTGACCCCTATAATAAATATTCTGAGCTATATTTGCTATACTGTCTCTGCTTACCGGTTTGTCACACGACAGAAATATGGAAAGATTCAATGGAATGGTATGTCATAGAAGATTTGCTTCAATCAAAATAGAAATCCTTGTATTGAGCAAGTACTTCAGACCAAGAGCAACCTTTGACTGTGTCAACTGGTGGTATTTTACTGGTGCATTTATTTTTATTTTATTTTAGTGGAGCTTTTCCTTTTCTATTGGGGTGGCCATTTTATTTTTGTCTTCATTCCCATTTTTGGACACTGCAGCATGGCGGTTGTTCTCCACTGCATGATTCGTATTTCTTGCCCAGCATTCTTTGAATATATAGCATTTGATTTAATGTTATAGGAAGACGAAGCCCTGGGCAGTAAGGTTCAAGTGGAGGTAGCTACTGCATTAGATTTTTGACAAGTGGAAAGAAGCAGAATTTTCTGTTGACTCTGAGGGCGATGGTGGTGAGGACTTGCCTTCTGACTTTGTTGAATACATCAAGGTGGTTTTCTTTCTATTCTGAGGACGCCCACATGGCGCAATGTCCTGTTTCGAGGACCAGTGCAGTGCCCATTTGAAATCTTACCTATTTTAAAAGCAGAAAATTACCTCACCTGGATGATGCAAAATATTTTAAACGATGATGTTGATATTTTCATATGATTTGCACCTGAATAGTTGCATGGTTCATCTGCAGGAGTGCATCAATCGCATAACTTCTCTAGAAAGCATGGGTACATCCTCTGACCTTACCTGAGTTGACCTTACCTTAATTGGTCATTCCAATCTGATCTGACTGGATTCCTAGCCTTGGGTCGTCTTTTTTCATAGCCGTCCGGATATTTTATTGATGACTGGGTCTGTGGGACCATGTTTTAGACGGGGAGAGAAAAATGGGAGCGATCACCATAGCTTTCGTGTTTTTCTCCCCTCTTCTTCTTCATCTTGCAGCCGTTCTTCTCGGATTCTATTCCCCGCAGCCCCCACCGCCATGGCCGCCGAGTCACAGCGAGAAGCCCCTCCGCCGCCGGCGTCGACCCACAGGCTTCCCGACTTCAAGCAATCCGTTAAACTCAAGTACGCCAAACTCGGGTACCATTACCTCATCACCCAGGGGATGTTCCTGTTCCTCGCGCCCGTCGGTGGCGCCATTGCTGCCCAGCTCTCCACCCTCTCCCCCGAGGACGTCCGCGAGCTCTGGGACCACCTCCGCTACAACCTCATCTCTGTCATCCTCTGCTTCACCCTCCTCGTCTTCCTCTCCACTCTGTACTTCCTCACCCGGCCGCGCCCCGTCTACCTGGTCGACTTCTCCTGCTACAAGCCCGAGGACGCGCGCAAGTGCACCCACAAGTTCTTCATGGAGCGGTGTAAGCAGACAGGCTCCTTCACGGAGGAGAACCTGGAGTTCCAGCGGAAAATCCTGGAGAGATCGGGCCTCGGGGAGTCCACCTACCTCCCGGAGGCGGTGCTCAACATCCCTCCGAATCCATGCATGGCGGAGGCTAGGAAGGAGGCAGAGATGGTGATGTTCGGCGCTCTCGACGAGCTCTTCGAGAAGACCCGTGTGAAGCCCAAGGACGTCGGCATCCTGATCGTGAACTGCAGCCTGTTCAATCCGACCCCGTCGCTCTCCGCCATGATCGTCAACCACTACAAGCTCAGGGGGAACGTCATGAGCTACAACCTCGGCGGGATGGGCTGCAGCGCGGGGCTTATCTCCGTCGACCTCGCCAAGCATCTTCTCCAGGCGCGTCCCAACTCCTACGCCCTGGTCGTCAGCATGGAGAACATCACCCTGAACGGGTACTTCGGCAACAGCCGCTCGATGCTCGTCTCCAACTGCCTCTTCCGCATGGGAGGGGCGGCGATCCTGCTGTCCAACCGGTGGTCGGACCGGCGGCGCTCCAAGTACCAGCTGGTCCACACCGTGCGGACCCACAAGGGCGCCGACAACAAGTGCTTCGGCTGCCTCGCCCAGGAGGAGGACGCAGAGGGGAAGATCGGGGTCGTCCTCTCCAAGGACCTGATAAGCGTCGCCGGAGACGCCTTGAAGACCAATATCACCACCTTGGGCCCCCTCGTCCTGTCGGCGTCGGAGCGGGTCATCTTCTTCGCCACTCTCGTGGGGAAGAGGCTCCTGAGGATGAAGATCAAACCCTACATCCCCGACATCAAGCTGACCTTCGAGCACTTCTGCATCCACGCTGGTGGCAGGGCGCTGCTGGACGAGATAGAGAAGAACCTGCAACTATCGGACTGGCATCTGGAGCCGTCGCGGATGACGCTCTACAGGTTCGGGAACACATCCAGCAGCTCGCTCTGGTACGAGATGGCCTACGCCGAGGCGAAGGGAAGGATCCGCAAGGGGGACCGCACATGGCAGATCGCCTTCGGCTCCGGCTTCAAGTGCAACAGCGCCGTCTGGAGAGCGCTGAAGACGGTCAACCCAGCCGAGGAGAGGAACCCCTGGATGGATGAAATCGACGGCTTCCCCGTGGAGGTTCCCAAGTTCTTGGTCCAAGAAGATGCGGTTTTTGATGCACAGGGCTTCTAAACACTTGATTTCTCAAAAGTATAGTTTTTGGACGTATGAAAATCAGTATCTTGCAGAGTATGGTAAATTTCTCATCTAACCGAGGAAAAATATTGATGACATTCTTCATTGTCATAAGAACGGGATGGGAAGAGAGAGAGAGAGAGAGAGAGAGAGAGAGAGAGATTCTACTGTAGATTTGGTAATAAAAGTAAGTTCTAGGCTGTGGGTAAGCGTTAATATGATGAATATGCTAGTTTGAGTAAAGTTTCGGCATTATTTTGTCCATGGGCTTTTATTATTGAGGCCCGAAATTAGTGAACTTTTGGAACCTGCTGACACCGTTAGCGGTGGCGCACTGGTAGTAACACCGGTAATGGAGACTTGACGGTGAATTCGGTCTTACTTGCCACGTGTGTGGCCTGCATTGTTGACCAGCTGGGAAGTACGGCTCCACGGGTATGGTCGTAAGCGTTGACTCTGGTGGCAGGCTGCCGGTCAGTTGACGGTAGACAGTTGGGGAATCTCTCGGTAGCCCCCACGTCCGTCTCTCTTCAACCCCTTCGTTTCTACAGAGAGGAAAGAAAAAAGAAGTCGTCTTGGAATTGGTCAATCGTTGGCGATGGATTTGGTGCCTCGGATGGCAAGCCCTTTTCCATGAAGCGCGTAGAAATTTAGAGAGAGAGAGAGAGAGAGACAGGGAGGAATTTCTAAAATATAGAATAAAGAATTACAAAAAGTCTTCTATATTCAATCGGTAGCCCTGTGAATTTGATAACATTAAAGCTGATGAAGACCCTGGGCGGCTCTTCACGTGTGTGGTATGGCTGATGCCGACGCCACGGGGCTATTCAACGCCAAAGCCATAGGGGCGGGGAACTTGTGTGGGCCACACATCCGGAACTCATAAAACTCTCCCCTCCTCCCCCATTAAATAGGGTCACTTGAAAGGTTAGAACATCTAAATTTGCAAGGTACAGAATTAGAAAATCTTCTAGATTCAATCAGTGGTCTTGTGAATTTGATAGAGTTAGAACACTTAGAGAGGTTAGAACAACTTAATATGAAGAATAAAAATTTACAAAAATCTTTTAGATTCGATTGGTGACCTTATGAATTTGACAGAATTAGATATGTTACACACATAATTACAAAACCTTCTAAAGAACATCGGATCACTTGGGAAGTTAAGACATTTTTAATTTGAAGAATACAAAATTATAAAATCTTTCAGATTCAATCAGTGATCTTATGAATTTTGACAGAGTTAGATATGTCACAAAAAGAATAACAAAACCTTCCAATGAGCATCAGATCACTTGAGAAGTTAGAACATTTTTATTTACAAATTACGTAATTATTTATAAAATCTTTCAAATTCAATTAGTGGTCTTGTGAATTTGATAAAATTAGATGTGTCATAGACAAAATTACAAAATCTTTTAAAGAGTTAGATTTTCTTGGCATTGTTTCTTATTGTCTGTTTCTATTAATTGTAGGCTTCCTTCAGTTACAAATATCTTCTGGTAATGGTGCCTTGAAAGACAGTCAACCAGATTTAGTGGAAAGAGGCAAAGGATTGTAAAGGGTAGAAACCATATGGGTAGATCAGTGTACTAGTGAGGTAACGTATGCATGATGCATACAAGTTCACTGTACTAATGTACATTTCCTTGTGGCCTAATGTCAACCTTGCTGTATCTGTTCTTGGACCCAACTTCTTTACTTAATTGAAGAGAATTCTGTGCTTTTTTCAGGACCCTTCATTTGTCCTTTCGGAATGCTAGGTTTTCTTCCTCATTGCCTAGTATGGCCTATTATTTTTGTGGATGCTTTGCTTGTATCAATCAAGCTGTGTTACGGATATCATGTACTTCAACAAATTTAGCTTGCAGCCTCTAGGTTTAAGAATGTAATTTATTTTCTCATAATAGCATGAATTTTCCTCATAAAATCATTATTTTGGCATCATCACTCCCGTCCATCCATTCACATTTTAGTTGGTGGCTAAGGATCTAGCCCACAAACAGTCTGATTTCAGATGGTTTACTATTTAGTACACTGGAAGGACTAATTTTTTGTAATAACATGGGTGCTAACCATTTCTTCTTCTTCTTCCTTGTAGAAACAGAATTGCATTCCTATGGAAGATCTTGCAGCAGAATTCAAGTTATGCACCCAGATCTTTATGGCAATCACTTCATTCATTGAACGCTATCTTTGGAGGTCTAGCTCTTTGATTTTTATGCACCTTAAGGACCGGACGAGTAGTAGCATTAATAATAGATTCTGAAATTGGCAAATCGTATCCATGGAGATAAAAGAAAGAATGCTGAGTGGAGTCATTCCTGGTGCTCCCGGTTCTGTTCCTCCCACGCGGAGCTTTCGTGATATCGCCGGATGAGAGCAACTGGTAAAAGGAACCGTCAGAACAGACTAATCATGATGAGGAATAATTCTATTTGTCGCTTTAATTAAATATGAATAAAAATCAGTATTCTATCAGTAATTGTGGAGTTCCGAAATCATGATTTGTCAGGGGAAAAATTACATCAGTTGGTTCAGTACAAAAAAAATGTAGAGTGAGTTATAAGTAACTGAATATAGAAAATATTCAATTTTGCTCATCATATTATTTATGAAAAATTAGAAATTGTCAATTGATTGAACAGGGCTCCTTTAGACTTGCCTGAAATTTACTTGATTAGGCTTATTTGTTGCATAATATTCATTGTTCTCGCAATAAAACGGAAATAAAAATTTATTTGTCTAAATTTCATTTTTTTCTGGTGATCTTCTATTTTGGGTAGTGGGAATAGTGCCAAGCTTTTATGAAAACTGACCTCGTCGCTGTATCCTGTTTTTCACCAGGAGGGAACAACTAGTGAGGCATGCTGCAACACGCTGGATGTGACAGAGGCCAGCTGCTGCAGGTTCATCATGCTCGGCAAGCTCATCTATTTCCGCAGTCCGATTGCAAGGTGCCTACTTTTCTTCATGAAATTCAAAATTGCCTTAAAATTTTATTTTTATATTTTTATCGTAAAATGTAGTCATCTCGTGTTTGTTTTAAATATAAACTCTCTAATTTGTTCTTTTTTTTCTTTCCCAATAAATTATTCTCGTAGATTACATTGTAAGGCAGTGAAAGCTGCTGTTGATTAGGACTTGAGAAATTATCCTTTTTTTAATATATTGATGAGATTTCCTCTTCATCCTTTGATAGCATCCTTGCTTCATTCATTAGAGGTTTATGAGACAGAAGGTAAATGAAATACAAGAGACAGTCAACTCTCTTGTTTTAAAGAATTTTGTTTTTATCAACCATGGTTTATGTATTAGTTCTGATGAAGGATCTGTTAAGGCTTCATATCCTAGTAAAATTGAACCAGTTAGCACTTCTTTTGTGCTATTGATTGTTGCAGATGGTGTCCCATCACATCTAATAAATGTTGGTCAACAGTAAATAGATATCTATCAGTAATATCATCTAATAACTGTTGATCTTTACATTATCAACTGTCATTGCCCTACTTTTTGTGTTATTATTTTCAATTTAATATCATCAGGCTATGGATTTCCTTGGCATTGTTTCTTATTGTCCGTCTCCACTAACTATAGGCTTCCTTCAGTTACAAGTATCTTCATTTAATGCTGCCTTGAAAGACTAGTCAACCAGCTTTAATGGAAATAGGCAAAGGGTTGTAAATGGTAGAAACCATATGGGTAGATCGGCAGACTAGTGAGGTAACGTAGGCATGATGCATAGAAGTTCACTGTACTAATATACATTTCCTTGTTATAATTTTAATTGTTCCTGTGGCCTAATGTCAACCTTGCTGTATCTCTTCCTTGACCCAACTTCTTTACTTACTTGAAGAGAATTCTGGGCTTTTTTCTGGACTCTTCGTTTGCCCTTTTGGAATGCTAGGTTTTCTTCCTCGTTCCCTAGTATGGCTTATCGTTTTTGTGGATGCTTTTCTTGTATCAGTCAGGCTGTGTTGCGGATACTATGTGGTTAAACAGATTTAGCTTGCAGCCTCTGGGTTTAAGAATGCAATGTAGTTTTTACTAATAGCATGAATTTGTCCCATAAAATCATTATTTTGGCATCATCACTCCCGTTAATCCAGTCACATTTTGGTTGGTGGCTAAGGATCTGGCCCACAAATAGTCTGATTTAAGATGGTTTACTATTCTATTACGCTGGAAGGACTAATTTTTTGTAATAACATGGGTGCTAACCTTTTCTTCTTCTTCTTCTTCTTCCCTGTGGAAACAAAATGCATTCCTCTGGAAGATCTTGCAGCAGAACTCAAGCTATGCACCTAGGTCTTTATGGCAATCTCTTCATTCATTACGCTAGCTTTGGAGGTATGCCTCTTCGATTTTTATGCACCCTAGGGCCCAAAAGAGTAGTAGCATTGAAAATAGTTTCTGAAATTGGCAAATCATTATGCATGGATATAAAAAGAAAGAATGCTGAGTGGAGTCATTACTGGTGCTCCCGGCTCTGATCCTCCCACGCGAAGCTTTAGTGATATCACCAGATGAGAGCAACTGGTGGAAGGAACTGTTGGAGCAGACTAATCATGATGAGTAGTAGTTATATTAGTCGCTTTAATTAAACATGAATAAAAAGCTGTATTTTATCAGTCATTTGTGGAGTTCCGAAATCCTGACTTGTCAAGGGAAAAAATCCATCAGTTGGTTCAGTACAAAAAATTAAATGAAGAGTGAGCTATAAGTAACTAATATTCAATAGCTAACATTCATTTTTTCTCATCATATTATTTACGAAAAATTAGAAATTGTCAATTGATTGAACAGGGCTCCTTTAGACTTGCCTGAAATTTACTTGATTAGGCTTATTTGTTGCATAATATTCATTGTTCTCGCAATAAAACGGAAATTAAAAAAAATTATGTGTAAATTTCACTTTTTTTCTGGTGATCTTCTATTTTGGGTAATGGGAATAGTGCCAAGCTTTTATGAAAACCGGCCTCGTCTCTTTATCCTTT